ACCTGTGAAGAAATGCTCCCTTTCTGTCAGCTCTTGTCCTTACTTCGCAAAGACTTCCTCTGTCAATAGCTTGTAACTGGGTCCTGCCAGTGAGTAGAAAGGTACAGAATGCAGCAAAGGGTTGTTTAATGTTTTTCTGAGAAACTCTTCAGTCTTGTGGTGAACTTCATGCTCCCCTCCCTTCCCCTCCAGTTTCTTTGGTCTCTTTTGCAGCGTGCCCACAAGTAAAGCATGGGTTTGTCAATAATGGAAACAGAACTTCAAAACTGAGCAATTCTCCATAATTTAAAATTTTACAGCGGTAGGTTCTTTTTTTAAACCCTCTTTTCTAGTACTGCTCCTTTCCTCCTACATGCACTAAATGTGCCAAACTTAAGCTAGCTGAATTCTGCATAGCTTTTAGCGTTAAAGCGAAGGCAGCAGTGATTATGAAGCATGTTGTCTAGAATGAGCTATTAGTACAGAAGAATAAAAGTTATTATTTTGGCTTGCAATTAGCACAGTTTTCTATAAATCTGAGTGGCTTTTATTTTGACATGAATGCTTCAGTAAGATTTTTTTTTAAATCACAAAGCTCTAATGGAATATAAAATACACAGTGATAATACAGCGCTGTCAGCTGAGACTTTCCTTCATGTGTCATTTGGGTGGACCAGGGTTAGTAAACTGTTAGGTTGGGTTTGGATGTGTGTGCATCTGTGAGGGAGGGAGACCTGCTATGAAGCTTAATAGCACTTTTTGTTTAGTGTTTCAAAAGCTAAACAGTTTGTTCCAGGAAAAGCATGTGCTGGTGTTAAAACAACATTTTATTTTAGACCACCTGGTAAAATACAATAGACTATGAACTTTCATGGGGCTGGTGTCTTTGCCAAATAAATAACTTATATTGACGGTGCAGTTTTGGTTGTTTGGGGTTTTTTAATCGTTTATCTTGACAGTTTCTTTCCCTGTGTCGCAAAGGACTTAATGATAATTTGATACCTCTCTGCAGTTCTTGGAGGGAAGGGGAGCTAAATAGACAACAGGGAGATTTTTATGTAGAAAGCTCATTTTGTTTGATTTTTGTGTCCTAGCATATTCAGTTGTAGAAGTTGGTGAATGTTTGGCTTGTGTACTAGAATAGATGAAGCAAAGCTTAAAAAATGCATCACAGCTTTGGGATGGAAGCTGTTTCAGACAACCGGCTCCTATTATGAAGAGCCAGAAATGCAAGCTTCGATTCCCAGATTCAGCCAATGCAGTTGTGAAGCTTGATGCCTTTGTGTCCTGGACAGTATCAGGATGCCCCAGTATGCAGCAAGATGACTGTGAAAAGGCAAGGCTCTGAGTGCAGAGGGTCCATCTGAAGCTGATCCCTGGAACAGAATCTGTTCTCACCAGGCTTAACCTGCATAAGTGGGGCTGTGTGCCAGTTCCGCATAATATGTAATGACATAGCTGAAAGGTGTGACTCTAGCAAATACTGCAGGAAGCAAGTCTCTGGGTTAACACTTTGTTTCATTAATTCCCAGAACTCAATTGTAGCTACTTTTCCAAAAAGGTTGCTGTGAGCTCTCCAGAGCAGTATTGTGGCATGTGTGATAGAAGGCTTACAGCCTTCACTGCAACTCTTCAGCTGCACTAATGGACTAAAGCTTTTCTTCTGTCTTAGCTGTCCTGGAAGCTAATTATAGTCCTGTGTCTTTCATTGTATATGCCAAAATCTTGTGTGTACCAATGTCCTTTGGACTTTCCTTGTGGGTAGGTGAGCTATTTTTGCGTCAAGATGTCTCCATTAAACTTTTGCAGTTCATTTACAGGCAATCTCTCGATCTAGCTGGACAGGGTAAAGTTTATATTGCCATCTCCTCCAGGTTCTCCCTCTTGCAGCTGTACAACAAAGTTTGAACTGACTATGGCTTGTTTCCATGTGGATTTTCAGCATAAAACTAGCTCACTCATTGTCTATTGCTGTAAAAAAGAATGGTTATATTGATACATTTGTTCTCATTATTCAGATGGTCGCCCGCTGTATGTGCTGAGATTGGGACAGATGGATACCAAAGGCTTAGTGCGAGCTCTTGGGGAAGAGGCCTTGCTTCGATACGTAAGTATTTTTGGAGCCAGCAAGTTGCTAACAATGTGATATTTTCATTTAGAAATTTCCTCCTCTGCCAGAGCATTCATCACTCTGGATATTTTGATGTACTTTCTGGCCGTCTGTTTTTGGTTTGAATACATCTGAAAGCTCCTGGTAGCTGATCTTCTGCATTCTTTCCAACTGCAAACTGATGGCGGAAAGGCGTAGTTCTTGGCAGCTCCTATAGTTATTGGTTAGCATTTTCACAGATTCTTCCGCAGTTTGTGCAGTGCTTCAAACTTAAGTCTCTGCATTTGTACAGAAGAGAAAAGGCCATGCTCAGATTTTGTCAAGCCTGTACACCAAGGATAAGAATAGTTTATTTTTAAAGAAAAACTACTTGCCTTCTCTAAAGGCGTCACTCACTCTGTTATTGTGGATCTGCTCAGTTTCCAAGCAGAAAGCTGGCAGAACTCCAGGTTTGCAATATTATTTTTTTTTTTGATTCCTAGTAATGACAGTCATGGTCATAATAACCACTGGAAGCAGGGGATGGATTTTACTTTTTCTCTTCCACTGGCATTTCCAGGCACATACTAAATTTTGTTTGTTTGCCCTACTTCTGTTTCAAGGCTACTTTCTATGACTTAAAAAGGGGCTTTAATTTCTGAATAAATAGGACATCAGTGCTTAAAGGGGCAGAAATGTAGGGAGGCTTCCTGTCTGTATCACTTCTGGGTCTCAGTTTTCAGGAGGATCTTGTTTACATTTTACTGCTTTTATGGAAAGGTATGTTTATTTTTCAGCAAGATCAACCAATGGGGTAAATGTAGTGATTTCTAGTTCATTCTTTGGGGGGAAAAAAAAGTTTATGCTGGTTTGAGCTTGTAGTTTTAATTAGTCTTTGGATACAAATATTATTTTGCTTTACCCCATCTATGAAGTTTAAGGCTGTCTTCTCTAAACTTGTTTTCTTGTACAGGTCCTTTCAATAAATGAAGAAGGACTGAGGCGATGTGAGGAGAATACAAAAGTATTTGGCAGGCCAATAAGGTAAAACACAACAAGTGCATCTGCTCTTTGGGAATTACCTAGTTTCATGGTGTGTGGGTGTAGGGGCAACGTCAGGCAACATGATGCTGCTGAGCAAAGTTTATTAAATGGAACGAGGAAAGGGTAGGCTGTGCATTTCACATGCAGGTACAACCGCAGTTACAGTTAACTGAGAGCCTCCCCAGTTACTGCTAGAGTGAGTCTGCATGGTCAAGCCTGAGGGGAACACACCACCTGCTCCAGCAGTCTCGGTGTTGTGCTCCTAATGGTTCTACATGGGGGGTGTTATGCTTCCACTCTCTTCTATTGTTGGATTTCTGCAAAGCACTGCAGTCTAACTCCTCTTTCTGTTTCTGGGGGATTTTATAGACAGATGTTGGTACAGGCTGCCAAAAAAATCAGGCTATGATAATCTCATGGATAACCTTTCCAGTAGTTTCAGGTATTGTTTTCATGTTGCTTACTCATCCATAGTCCATACCAAGGCTCATTACACTCAGTTCTTGTTTGCATTCTCCACTTAATATATGCGGTTACTCACCTCTTGATCCAAGGTAAGGTCATGAGACTCTTGTAAACCTGGGGTCTAGTTTTCCAAGTACTGACATGACTTCATGTGAAGTTCAGTCAAAAACGACTTGCTATCCCGTCTTTTAAGTCACTGTAGGGGTCACTTACAAAAGTGTTAAAAGGACTGGCCCTGAAAAGAAACTGTGTTTCTTGGACTCTTTTCAATTTCTGACTCCTTCCCTTAATCTGTAAAGGTTCAGGGATGCATGATATGTCTGCTTATCTTTTCCCTGTTAAAGAACGTGCTGTCCTAGCTCTCAGCGGGAGGTCAAATCTAAGAGATGGATTTCATGTGTGTAACTATGAAATTGTGCTGCCTACTGGATCTTTATTTGTAGAAGTAATCCTAAAGGACTACATGTTAAACATTTAAAGTGAAACAAAGAAGTGTTTGCTGTTTCATAGAAGCCTTATGCATAATTTAATGGATGCTAGCTGGTGCAGCACAGCTGTAAATCTTGAATTCATGCCCAGGGTGAGACCTGAACTTGGAAAGTAACTAAAGCATATGCTGAAGCTCAGTATTTAGTATGAAGCACATATCTCTTTCTATAGAAAAAGCCTCCCTCCCTGAGATCTGACAACAACATTAGCTTTGACGTGTGATGGCACTGTTACTGTACCGTGTTAGTAGGAAATCTACACCGTGAATGTTAAATTGCTTCATAGCAGCATGACCACTTAATTATTTCCCCGTAGAAGCAGTGGTTTAACATTTGGGCTGGCTGTTGACAGGATCTTTTTGGCTTCATATTAACCTTCACCTGGAGTCTGAAATGTCTATAGGGAGATAAGCATGGTGTGCAAAGTGATCTTTGCACATACTCTGTAACCGTGCTTGGCACACTAAGACATTTCCATTCTAAGGGCCTTAAACTCCAGTGCCTACAGGTAGTGGCAAAGCAAGGAGGTAAAGTAAAAGAAACCAAAACATACAATGGGGTCTACACGTTTCAGTGCATTGGACACTTGTATAAGAAAGGAGAATTTTGATGCTATTGAGGTTTTTTTTTCTTTTTGTCTTTCTCAAATTCAGCTCTTGGACCTGTCTGGTAGATCTAGAAGGCTTGAATATGCGGCATTTATGGAGACCTGGTGTCAAAGCATTGCTGAGAATCATTGAGGTGGTTGAAGCTAATTACCCTGAGACTTTGGGTCGTCTTCTAATCCTAAGAGCACCTCGAGTATTCCCAGTTCTTTGGACACTGGTATGTTTATCATTCAAGGCATACCTCAGCTCTTTCAGTATACTGCCACACACTTTTAGTTTGTAAAAGTACTTTAGAGATCAGGCTTTATAAGCAGGAAATGTTACCATTTGGAAACATCTCTTTTATAGGATTCCTGGAATGGATTTAAAACCACTGCCTAAGAACTCGCTTACATAGTTGGTTAATTTAGCTTCTTTATAGTGTGAACTTTGCATAACAAGGGTGGTAACGCTTAATGCGATCAAACTGATTCTTTCAAAATGGACTCAAGAAAAATGTGGGAGCCTAATCTATTCTTGTTTTCTTTGTAGGTTAGTCCATTCATCGATGACAACACTAGAAAGAAATTCCTTATTTATGCTGGAAATGACTACCAGGGTCCTGGGGGACTGCTGGATTACATTGATAAAGAAATTATCCCTGATTTTCTTGGTGGAGAGTGCATGGTATGAATATAAACTAGTGCATATAGCAATTTATTTGTGGTTTTTTTATTCTCCTGCTCCTCTAAACAAAGAAGCCTAGAAGCACAGAATAATTCTTAATGTAGAATCATAGAATCGTAGAATGGTTTGAGTTGGAAGGGACCCCTAGAGGTCATCTAGTCCAACTCCTCCACAGTGAGCAGGGACACCGCTAACTAGATCAGGTTGCTCAGAGCCCCGTTCAACCTGGCCTTGAATGTTTCCAGGGATGGGGCCTCCACTACCTCTCTGGGCAACCTGTGCCAGTGTTTCACCACCCTCATTGTAAAGAATTTCTTCCTTATATCCAGCCTAAACCTACCCTGTTTTAGTTTAAAGCCATTACTCCTTGTCCTGTCACAGCTGGCCCTACTGAAAAGATTCTCCCCATCTTTCCTATAGGCCCCCTTTAGGTATTGAAAGGCCGCAGTCAGGTCTCCCTGCAGCCTTCTCTTCTCCAGGCTGAACAACCCCAACTGTCTCAGCCTGTCCTCATAGGAGAGGGGCTCCAGCCCTCGGATCATTTTAGTAGCCCTCCTCTGGACCTGCTCCAACAGCCACCAGCACCCCCAAGTCCCTCTCAGCAGGGCTGCTCTCGATCATTTCTTCCCCCAGCCTGTACTGATATTGGGGGTTACCCCGACCCAGGTGCATGACCTTGCACTTGGCCTTGTTGAACCTCATGAGGTTCACACAGGCCCACCTCTCCAGCCTGTCCAGGTCTCTCTGGATGACATCCCGTCCTTCTGGTGTGTCAACCGCACCACTCAGCTTGGTGTCATCCGCAAACTTGCTGAGGGTGCACTCGATCTCGCTGTCTAGGTCATTGATGAAAACATTAAACAGCACCGGTCCCAGTATGGACCCCTGAGGGACACCACTTGTCACCGGTCTCCATCCGGACATCGAGCTGTTGACCACTACCCTCTGGATGCGACCAGCCAGCCAGTTCCTTATCCACCAAACAGTCCACCCATCAAATCCATAGCTCTCCAATTTGGAGAGAAGGATGTGGGGGACTGTGTCAAAGGCTTTGCAGAAGTCCAGATAGATGATGTCCATTGGTTTTCCTTTGCCCACTATTGTTGTCACACCCTCATAGAAAGTCACTAGGTTTGTGAGGCAGGACTTGCCCTTGGTGAAGCCACGCTGGCTATCTCGAATTATCTCCCTGGCCTCGATGTGCCTTAGCATAGCTTCTAGGAGGATCTGTTCCATGATCTTCCCAGGCACAGAGGTGAGGCTGACAGGTCAGTAGTTCCCAGGGTCTTCCTTTCTACCCTTTTTGAAAATGGGCACAATGTTTCCCTTTTTCCAGTCACCAAGGACTTGTGTAGTTTGGAGGCAGGAGCTATGATGTAGGATTCCAAGGTTAGTGTTTTCTTCCGGATCCACTTTAAAAAGAGAAGTACAATACTCCTTTACAATGACTATAAAGTAACTTATCAAAGTAGCCAGGCATGGTTAAAAGCCATAGTCTCTGTTAACTGTCAAGTTCAAGCAGACATAGTAGCACAGCACTGAGCAAGAGCTCTCACCATTGCTAATCAGAAGTCTGTGTCACCTGAAAGAACTAACTGATACCATCAGGAGCCCAAGGAAATATGTGGCACATCTGCTGGCAGGGCTTAGCAAACAAACAGGTCTCCTAGTGCAACAAACCAAAAAACCTGTTTTATTGCAGGATACTGTAATTTCTCAGTCCCTTATCGTGTGCCTTAGTAGCTATTTTCTGCCTAGACTATGGGTGCCAGTTGAATCTGTCATTTTAACATCTCAGTGATACTGTAAGGTTTGTTTCTCTGCAATGTTTTTGACAGCACAGGCTCACGGGTGTGACTGAGGTGTAGGAGTGCAACTCAGGCATTTTCTGGAGCCTCCATGATTTTTTTTTTCTGAACTCAGCTGTGCTAAAATATAATTTCAGGCTTGCTTTTTGAGCCCTGTACACTTGCTAGATTACCATTCTTGAAAACTCATCTACGTCTGTTCAAATGCAGTCTCAAATGATAATGAAATAGTTAGAAGCATTGGAGTAGGGCATGTGTTTATCTTCAGTGGGCTGCTGGAGTAGTAGCTTTCAGTGGAGAGAATTTGTGCTATCTAATTTGGAGCTTGAGCAGCTGGCAAAATCCACTGCTTAACTAAGCAAAAGTCAGTATTACCAGCAAGCAAATTGCTACGATACTTCCTGCCGGTCACAGATGATAATAGTCTCTTTCTCTTCTTCTTTACTTCCGGATATTTGAACAGAAACAACTTCCTAAAGATCCTTTCAATTCTCTGTTGTAATTGTTACCAAACCCTTCTACTGCCCCAAACACTTCTATGGAACCTATTCCTGGTCAGATAGTTTTCTAACTTCATTACTAGAGACTTCATTACTAGAGACTTCTTAAAAAAAGAAGATTGCTTAGGGAAGTTGTGTAATCGGTTCCAGTGCTGAGCTGTCGACACCGTTGTAGCTTGGAAACCGTTACCTTCCTGACTGCAATATCCTTTTACCTGTTTGGAAATATACTGCACCATCCTTCGTCATTAAAATGTAGTTACCCCAATTCTTTCAGGTCTCTGGAGGCTGTATTTTTTAGACTGAGTCACTGTTGCCACTTTCCTCAGGATTCTTAAGTGGCTCATGTCTGTCTTGAGCATAGGGCAGTTTGGGTGATAACTGCAGCGTTTGGACAGTAATTTTCTGTGGCGGTGGCTGTCTTGTGTATACAAGATCTGTTCCTCTGGTGTCTAGTTCTGCAAATTCACCTAAACCAGATCATGGTAAAATAAATTTATGTATGTATGATGTACAAGCTATAAAATTACTTTCTCATTCTTCAGAGTGCTTGCTGAATGTGAGGTTATGTTTCTGAAGCTAGCAGGCAGAGAGCATGACAGCGTGTGGATGTACAGAGGGGATACTTTTTAATGGCTGTTTATGCTTTTAGTGTGAAGTACCAGAGGGTGGGCTGGTTCCCAAGTCCCTCTACCGGACAGCAGAAGAGTTGGAAAATGAAGACATAAAACTTTGGACTGAAACAATCTACCAGTCTGCAAGTGTCTTCAAGGGAGCTCCACACGAGGTATGGTTGCAGCCCTACCCTTCTCTTTCATCTCAACCCTCTGCTCTGGACTCTCTCCCTTGAGCTGAAAATGTTTTAGAATTTGATTATTTAGTTGCTATGCTTCCACTATCTTATTCTATAGTTCTGGTGCATAATGATGCTTTAGTAGCTGAAATTTGTGACCGTTCCTGGTATCATCTTATTGGCATTTAGAGAATATCACTGGCTTTCATTCTATTCAAAGCAGTGTCCTTCTAAGCAAAGACAAGCAATATTCTCAGAAGCTACTTGAGGGCTTCTTCAGAAAGTCATGTGTCAAAATAAAGACACTCCATCAGGAGAGAATTTATACACTGTCTTTTAAAAAGTTTAAATTGAACCCAGCAACAAAACCTCTGGGTTTTGTGTTCTGGTAAGAGTTTCTACCTTTACTGAGCAAATTGCTATTGTCTAATACAACTTTTCTGTCTCAGGTTCTCATTCAGATTGTGGATGCCTCATCTGTGATCACATGGGATTTTGATGTATGCAAGGGCGACATTGTTTTTAACATCTTTCATTCCAAAAGAGCCCCACAGCCTCCTAAAAAGGACTCTCTGGGAGCTCACAGTATTACATCTCCTGGAGGAAACAATGTCCAGTTGATAGACAAAGTCTGGCAATTGGGGCGTGATTACAGCATGGTGGAGTCTCCTCTCATCTGCAAAGAAGGGGAGAGTGTGCAGGTAAGACCACTGAAGCCTAGTGCGGGAGCAGATGGAAGCTAGCTCCAAAACTACATGTTCTAATTCACAATTGTTACTGATGACTGAGTGGTGATTCAGCTCCGGACTGTCTGCTTGCTTTTGGCCGACATTTCAGCTTATGTTCCTAGCTGCATGCTGCAGGGAACGGGGATAGTATTTACATGGGATCTGCTATCAGGGGAGGTTGCAACAGTCCAATAGTGACTGAGATTAATCAACAAGAAATATAGGGAAGCCACCTAGAAAGTAGTGCACGTCCAGAAAGTAGCAAGACATGCGTTCATGCTGTCATTTTGACCATTATTTTCTGAAGCAAATAGTCTGTTTGAAGAATATCATAGTGTCTTTACCTCAGTAACAAGAGAAGTCTGGAAATCAAGACCTAGTTTGTGTGTTTGTCCCTCTAACAGGCACCTGAAGGAGCTCCCTACGGCCAAAGTTCCTGAAGTTTTTCTCATGGCATTTGCAACCTGTCCTTTAATTACCAAGTTTGATATTACATGCAGCATGTTTACAATCACACTCTGCCACTGCTATTCCTTTTGACTTGAACAGCCTTTGAAAAAGCTCCTTAAGTCATCTAATTGGAAGTGTTAAACTGGAAATATGGGCAGTGACCTCTTGAACTGCACTTTCTCTTTCTATGAGGCAGGAGCCTTGACTGCTCTTTCCACAGTCTCTAAGGGCAGCTATTAATGAAAATAAATGGAAAAATGAATATTGTTTTAAACAAGAACTTTGTCATTTCAGTATATTTAAATCCTAACCCCTTGACACGGTCAAAAAGCAGGAGGAATCGCTGGCATTTTATCAAAACTTTTCTAAGTATGCTCTGAGGGGAGAGTTGACCAGCACTGCCAGTTGGCTGAGGAGCTGAACTACTGGCACTGGGAAAAAATTACAGCCATGTAGGCAGTTTTTCTAGGCTTGGAAAAGACATTTCAAGCCTATAAATCTTTGTGTTAACAAAGGTAATTTTCAATTTTTTGCTGTGGCTGCTTCCAGGGATCGCATGTGACCAGGTGGCCTGGCTTCTATATTCTCCAGTGGAAATTTCATAGCATGCCTGCCTGTGCTACAACCAACCTGCCTCGTGTGGATGATGTGCTAGCATCTCTGCAGGTCTCCTCTCACAAATGTAAAGTGATGTACTATACAGAAGTAATAGGATCTGAAGATTTCAGGTATGTCTGGCCAAGGTTCATGAGGGTCAGCTGCTGTCAAACCTTTCTAATACTTAGGATATCAAGCCAGTGTCAAGTTCACTTAAATAAAAGTAAATTGTGAGGACTTGTGTTTTCTTAGGCCTCAAAAAAAAAAAAAAACCCAAACCCAAACAAACTGGCACTGGGGGCAGCTAATGTATAAAAGGAGTTGATTAGTTATCTCATTGTAATCACTGGCCCCTTTGCTCTGCTTTGAAAGCCTGGTGTGAGTTGTTGGGCTTGGTAGGTTGTCATGTAGGAATGGGTGCAACTCAAAGTGGAACTGAGTCAGTTCAGTTGCCTGCCAGTTGATATACTTGACTGAAGCTAGTTCTCACTCTGTGAACAGCATGTTTTTGCGAGGTGTTTGGTGTCCCCATTATCTTACGTGGTAAGGCAGAAAAGCTTTTGAGTACCTGCACCAAAACTGTTACTTGTGTTGTATTCAGTGTGCAAATGAATACAGTATAGGCACATAGCAGAAATCAAAATATTTTTATGTTCAGAAGCTTAAAACTACTTTGTTTTTTATTGCAGGGGATCTATGACCAGCCTTGAATCAAGCCACAGTGGATTCTCCCAGCTCAGTGCTGCCACCACCTCTTCTAGCCAGTCCCATTCCAGCTCCATGATTTCCAGGTAGTGCCACAACAGATGAAAAGCAAATGGATGAGATGGCTGGACCCTCGCCTGTGGCAGCTGACTGCAATACAGCATATTCAACTGGCAATTGTGCAAAAAAACCCCCACCCCACAAAAGCCTTTTATAGATAGTAAAGTAGCTGTTTGAATTTTAAACTTAGTGGTTTTGGTCCTTGTTAGATCCAACAGCTTGTCTCTTAACTTTAACCCTTTTTCCTAACTCAGCCATAAATATTTTTGCAAGTGTGCTTGCACAAATCCTAACTCTGAACACACAAGGGCTCTCACTGAAAGGAAACATAACCAGTGCATCAGTTAAGAATAATTTTTTTAACTGTGTAAATGTTAAAAAGCAAAAAAGAAAAACCCTACCAAAAATGCTCTATAGTGCATTAGAGATTAACTGCGAGTCTCCTGTCAGGACATTCCTTGCCATCTTAAGAAATCCCCTGTGATCTTCCAGTGCTGCAAACTGTTCTCCCATTGCCACTAAGTGATGTCCGAGACAAAGGAAAGCAGTTGCTGGATACTTGACTTTGTGAGTCCATTTTTTTCAAAGCGTGCCCACAGAGCTGTGGCCAGGCTGTAGACACTAATACCTTTTGTATGAGCACATTTTTGGGGAATTTGAGCTCTGGGTCTTGATGGGTTAAAGCAATTCATTCTTTCCTTGGATTTGTGCTTGAAGCACTGTGGAGAGAGAGGCAGAGAGCAGGCTCTCCCTCACTGCATCAGGCTGGGCAGATCCAGAATTGGTCTGAGGATTTGTTCCCAGCTCTGTGCTGGAGCTCCGCTCCACTTCCTTAGTACACTCCACGTGAACTGATTTTACTGAGACTGTTCTTATCGGGAATTTATGCAGAGCTTAAGCTTGCTTCTTAAATTGGTCTGAAAGGAGGTATGGCTTACATCCTTCCTGTGCACTTTTCAATCCCTCTTGCCTCCTACCCTTCCCCGTGTATGTCAGAAATGGAGCGCTTTAGTTCTGAGCAGCGGAAGCTTTAATGTAAGCAGGAAGCGCAGGGATCGTCACTTGAAGTGGTAACAGTAGAAGATGCTCTTTTCACTATTGCTACTGTCAGTGGTGAATTGCCATTTTGGATTTTGGTCCCTATTCTACCCAGGCCTGAGCAATCCTACTTGAACTATCTTTGTTAAAGTCTGTTCAGGTGTTCTTCACTTCGAGCCCTCCCTCCCATGCACAGCAAAAGGCACAAAAGACTCAAGTGCTGAGTAAAGGGCTGTCAGTGGACAACTACAGACCATACCTGGCAGCAGAGCAGAGAAGATTTCAGTCTGAAATGCAACAGGTTTTGCATAGTTAGACCCTGCCTGGTCTTTTCTCACCCTCTTAGAGCTAAACTATCCAGACAAGAAGGAGCTACTGTGCTGGCTGCAGTTCCTCCTAGAAAGCTGGATAGGCTCTGTTAAGTCTTGGGGAGGCAGCGCTGTTGTGGGTAAGTGGCATAGAGGAGCTTGCAGAGGCCTTGCACTTTGAAGGCAGAACTCACTTAAGATGCCCGGCCTGAGGAAAGCTGGTTCTGAACGCAATATAAATCTTTTTTTATGACTGCAGAGCTTCTGAGAGGCAGGTTACTAACCTCTAACCAGGAGCACCTCTCCTGTGGACCAATTCTGGCTGTGGAATGTGGCAGACAGAGCTGACGAAGGAATTTAGTAACAGATTTAGAGGTCCCGAGAGGCCAGTCTCCTTAAACTGAACCAAAATGCTCTATTTTGTCTTTTTTGGACTTAGTAATTGAAGATAGAGGTCAGACTGTTGCTTACACTGCCAAAGCGTGCTGTTGTGCGAGACAGGCCACCGCTTCGGTGTCAGTCAGCTCCCCAGCCAGTGTCTGCACAGCAGACAGCCGCACGCTGTGGCTCTCGGGCTGCTCACATGAGCTGTCTGCCTAGGAGGAGCTCCACTTCCTGAAGAAATCCGATTCTTGATGTGCAGGAACCAGTATTCCCAGGTGCAGGGGAGTTAGTGCAGCAGGAGGGACAGATGAGGTTGACTTAATGACACTTGTGGCTCTTTGCAAATGCCACTTTCCATTTACCAGGCTGTAAGGGTTGAAGATGGTCCCCTTTCTTTCTTTCTTTCTTTCTCTCTCTCTCTCTCTCTCTCAGATGGCGATTTTGCTGACAACTGTAAAGAAACTGCCTCATTCAACACTCCACATCTGTCCAGAGGTGTCTGGCTTTGTAGACCTTTTTGAGTTGCAGTCACTTTTCAAGTCTGAAGATCTATATTTTGTTTTTCACTTGAGCTGGCTCAAAAGTGGCACTTTGGGTTTTTCCTGCTGTTAATCTTAACACATCTTTTAGAGCTCAAAGCACATGACAGCACAAATGGCTGGGGAGAGAAAATTCCAGAAAAACAACAGTTAATCCTTCTCCAAGCCAAGTGCTGTGGCAATATGACTTGATCACTGCAGTCTGACTAATTAATTTCCCATACCCTGATCTTTCTTTGTGTGATGATATTGCTCTTCATCCTTCTCTCAGCCAATGACTCTTCTGTTGGCTTTTTTTCCTGTTATCAATGCCCTTCTGCACTTTCCTGTCTGTACTCATGAACTGCATATCAAATTCTGTAAATGTTTTGTATACATAATACCTCATTCTTGGTAATAAAATACGGATAGTCTTTAAAAGATTTTTTTATCGTTATCAATAAATGTGAACTGTTTGGAAAAAAGGGGTCAGCCTCTTTATTTCATTCATCTAATGCAAAGCTTCCAGGTTATTTTATGTGCTGAATTCAAGTCTGCCAGAGCTGCTGTGGGGCAATGCTGTTACGAGGGACGTGGGAGGTGCTTCAGCACTCTGCAACTGGGAGAAGCTACAGCAAAGCATTCTGTCCTGGGGAGCAGAAACCTGAGCAGGTATGAGGAAATGTGGTTTTAGAAGGAAAAAGGCCCCTGCTGGGCACTTCCACCTCACATAATAAAACCCTGTCTTCCCCATGTGCACAGGTTTGTTTTGTTCGGGTTTTTTTACCAGTCTGTGAATACACAAAAGGAACAAAATACTGTGCTGAAAAAGTCTTTAGATAGCCCTAAAAAGAAAATGGTTGCTTTTAGGGATTATACGATGACTTTATACTCTTTTTATCACAGTTTGAAAGGGAGCTTCACCCTCAGCAGTTCAGCCGATGGCAGCAGTGGAGGGTCTTAGGGGTGTTACCCAAAAGGCTTGTGCTGCTCAGCCTAGCACAGTGTGGGTACAGATAAATGTCTCACTTGTCCCTCTGCAGGCTGAAATGTGTCTGGCCACCTGAACTACCAAGTGCAGTAACTTTGCTTTTTCCACCTGCTGCTTTCTTTTCTCAGGCTTTCCGGCAGCACAAATGGCTGATTGCATCCCTCGGCTGAGCATGGACTGTCCTGGGAAAACCCGAGTGGCCTTGGTGCAGGCACAGCTACCTGAGCAACAGGACTGCACCCTGAGCTCCCCAGGCCCTGGTGTCCTCGGTGAGAGCCGCCCGGCTGCAGCGTGGGCTTGGGGAGAGGGACCCTGCGTTAAAGGTGACCGTTCGGCTGCACCGCTCTGTGCTTGTTTGGTGGATGCAGCTGCTGTCGGGCTTGTGAGGGTGGGGTATTTGGGACAACATTTTTTTTTTCTTGTTCAAGAAGCAGCCTGCTGAGGTACAGAGCTGCCCATGCCAAGGGGTTGATCCTGCCTGCTTCCAGGTGTGGAGGAGGTGGGCTCCTCGGGTGGGAGGCTGAGGCAATCTCATTTGGGGAATTAAGATTTTTTTTTTTTTTTAAGAATAGAAGTAGACAAAGCTTTAGCTGTTTTTAAAATAAAACAGGAGCCAATAAATGTCAGGATGTGGTTTTTCTAACCCCTGAAGTTGAAGCCGTGGCTGAAACATCTGTTTACAGTTGGTCTTTCAGATTTTATCCAAGCCCAAGCTGTAAAGTTTCTAAAACTTGAACTATGGTTTGTGGAGAGCTGTCAGCAAGAGCAGATGGCTGCCTGACCTACTTCAAGTTTTAACATGTGGCCAATATTTTTATGCCAGTGCGTAATTATAATGGCCTGGCTTACTGCTGCTCTGGATGTTACTAAATACAAAAGCCCTTGACAAGACATGGTCCAAGGAGGTGGCTTTGGCTGTTCCGCTGTGCTGTGCCTAGGAGGCAGTGGGAAAGCTGTGTTTCCAGGCCAATGCTCCTCTCTCGAAAGGGCAATTAAAAGGGAGAGCCTCAGACCCTGTTTGAGCTGAGCAGGTGGTAACAGTGTGGGCAGGGGCTGCTCTGCCCTGCAGCTCTGCTTGGAAAAGCTTTGATCTGGTTGAACCGTGTATTTTGGTTTGGGGTTTCTTTGGTGGATTTCGGGTTTGTTTTTTTTTCTGAGACAAAGCAAAATTCCTGGAAGAAATTCCACCTACCTCCCCTGCTCCCAACAAAGTCGAGGGCTCCCTCTTCCCCGGGTGTGAGACCCTGTTCTCCTTTCTCATTTGCAAATCACTTCTCAGTCACCCAGGGCGGAGGGTCCTGAACTGTCCTTTGGAAGTGCATCCCTCCTGCTGGAGCAGGGGCTGGTGCTGGCTCACTGTCCGGCATCCCTGCCCCAAATAACAGCACGTGCTCTTCCCATCGCTTCGCAGGGGAGGTTAATTTGGGTGCTTGGTGCAGGCAGGCAAGTTAAAATGAAGACTGGAAAAAAAAAAGATGACTCCTGTAATCCCTGCTAGCGCTCAGACAGCAGAGGGTGCACGCAGAGCCCTGGCCTCCGTGTCAGTCCCGTGCTGCGGGCACCCAGTGTGTGCTGGGGCCAGCCTGGCACCCTCCTGCACCCTGGCTGCTTTGCCCTGAGCTCGGCGGGGGCTGCGAGGGTGGGGTATTTGGGACAACATTTTTTTTTTTTTTCTTTCTTGTTCAAGAAGCAGCCTGCATGCCAAGGGGTTGATCCTGCCCGCTTCCAGGTAAGTGCGGTGCGCAGCAGCTGGGAAAGCTGCTTCCCAGGGCAGGGGCTGCCCAATGCCTCCAGGAGAGAGATGGCCAAAGCCTCAAGTGTTAGGTTTTGGCTGTCTTTCAAAAGTCATTAACATCCAGTGCAGTTCAAAAAATTTACCATCTCCCTTTTTTTGGGAAGGGGAGGAGAGAACTTTATTTTGCTAACTCATGCTGTTGTAAGGAGTTTGGGCGCTGGGAACTAGAAGGTCAGGATTTTCTGCTTGTTTTTTCTTTTATTTCCATCCCACTTCCTGCCCTAAGCCTTGGTCCCTCGGTGGCACTCGGCAGCTGCAGGCCTGAGGGGAGCAGGGCAGGGACCCTGGTTTTGTGGCTGGGGCCGGGTCTCATTCAGCCCTTTCTGTGTGCACCTGGGGGCTGCAGAAACCAGGGGCTAACTCTGGCCTGCTTACAGACCAGAACCATCCCTGAGGACACTGCCAGCACACAACCATGGCGTGGGACAGAGCAGAGCCAATAAATAAATCTCCGGCTTTTCTTGGTGCTGATGGAGCCTTCCCTTGCTGCCTGGGGTGACCCGAACCGGGCAGCTCCCCCTGGGGTGGGTCCTGGTGCAGCACGGGCCCACACCTCAGGGTTGTGTTTTAAATTGTAAAGAAAAAAAAGGGGGGGAGGGAAGGGAAAAGGAGAAAGGTGTTAATGTGTTATGTACTTAATTCTGCCACCCCCCAAAACCCTCCAGGGCAGCCCCAGCCACCAGCTATTTCACCCAGGGGAGCCCTGCTTTGCCAGGAGCCTGTGTATCCCCAAATACTGTTGGGCGCTGCTGGGGCTGCTGCCCCACCAGCACCCCAAGGCACTGGTCCGTACTGGGAGCTGAAAACAGAGGAGGCGTCCCCCTTGGAACCCCCCTTGTTTTGCCTCTTGCCGGAGGTGTTAAAAGGGCAGCAAAGGGGCTGGAGGGCTCTCGGGCCCAAAATGTGTTTGCTAGAGCAGGGAGAGCAGGACTTGCTCCTCTCCCCACGAGCGCTGCCAGGTCCAGCCCAGGGAGCGATGGGCAGGCCAGCGCTTCTGCCATTCCCTCCGGCTGGCTGGAGAGGGCAAACGGCCCCCGTTCCTCTGACCATGGCCCACCTCGAACTGCAGAGCCCCTCCACCATGGTGCGGGACATGCTGCTGTAAATGCGGCCGGTTAATTGATTGCTCTTGCTCCAGCAGATTGCCCTGAAACCCCTCATGGGTCGGAGTTTCATAACAGCTCCCTGAAACCACCTCCCACGGCAGCTTGTGCCGGCAGGGCTGGGCTCGCGCGCATCCTGGCCGCCTGCTGTAGCCCCTGCCTTGCTGCACCGTGGGCACCGAAAGGCAGCAGGGGCACGGGGGGGCAAGGGCTGCCCAGGGACCCCTGAGGACAAGGTTTCCAGACCAGGCTGTGGTGATGCCACTTGGCTGCCAGCGTCAGCCCGACCCCATGCTGCCCAGCCCAGGCTCAGCACCCTGTGTGGAGCCAACACAGCTGGGGTGGGTGGCCCTGCAGGGGTGCAGCACCCATCCCCAGACCAGGCCAAGCAAAGCAGCCAGCAGGTACTTCTCTTACCAGACATGGGCCAGTTGGGGGATGAAAGCCCCTGGCGCAGCTCTGGCCCTAGAGAGGAGCCAGCTGTAGATGGGGGCTCTGCGGGGCAGCCTCCTCTGCATGTTTTTTCCCTAACAAAACCCTGTTTTCCTGAGCAGGGGAAGGGCCTGTGTCTCCATCAGACCATTTTATCAGCCCCTCTGCAGCAATCGTGCCAAGGAGCTCCCTGCGTGCCTCTGCCTTTGCCTCTGAAGATGAAACAGGACACACGCATGAGAACATCGATGCCCTGAGCCAGCTCTGGGCAGCCACGGATGCGGGTGTTTATTTGTCCTTCAGAAGAATTTAATAAGAAAAGAAGGAGGAAGGAACCACATGGGCTCTCCTGGGGGAGGGCTGGAGCGGGGATGGCTGCCTGGCACTGGCAGGAGGATGTCCCCCCGCTGCCAGCATCCATGGGCAGCGTCACCAGGCCCCTCCAGCCTGCCCAGTTAACGCTGCCCGATAACCCTACAGCAACCCAGGCAGAGCTGCCAGCCCCATCCCACTGCCCCGCCGCAGCCACCTGGGGCATCCATGGGCAGGCCAGGAGCTCCAGCTCTGCCTTGCACCATCCTCCTCCTCCTTGGAGCAAAGGGTCTGGCCCGTGCAGACCTCCCCGGTGCCGGCCAGCCTGCAGGCGGTTGCAATGAGCAATTCTCTCTGAAGGTATTTAATGCTCTGCTGTGCTACAGAGAGGAATAAGCCCGTTCTCTGCTCTCCTCCCTGGCTCTCTCCTGAGCCCTAGGTGCTGCTGAGAGGAACTGCAAAGAACTGAGCTGCAGGAGAACGTGGGTTAATTAGCAAGGGGCTGGGAGGGATGGCGAGAAACAGGTCGGTGGATAACACACAGCTCTGCATTCTTGGAAAGCTGCCATGGCACATGGGGGACCTGGCGGTGCCCACAGCCACCTCAGGGCTCTCCCTGGAGATCGGCTGGGGGATGCAGTTGTCCGCTCCCCCAGCCCGAACAGCGGCCCTAACCCACCCCGGGGAGGGACGCGGGGCTAGGAAACCAGTTCAAGGGGCCCATCGGGGATGAAGAGAAAGGCTGTGGGGACCTGGAGAGACATCTGGCACGCACACACCAAACTCCGGGAGAGCCAGGAGAGCGTGGAGGTCCTGGGGCAGGCAGGGACGGGTGGGGATGGAGCAGGCAGGGCCTCAGGGCTCTGAGTCGGGCACCAGCTGCCAGCTCCTGCGATGCTGGTGGCCCCTGAGAGCCCTCGTGGTGGACGGGAGATGCTGCTGGGGTCTGCGCTCACTGGGAGGGGTAGGGGAGAGATGCTTGGAAGCAGGGACCTGGAGAGCTCAAACCCGGCAGGTGAAGGCAGAGCAAAGAGCAGAGCTGCTGCCTCCATCCCACAAGTTTTGGTCTCCTGGTTCAGGGAGGGCAAAGTATTGACTTGCAGCTGTCTGCCGTTCGCAGCTCCACGGACAGTGCTGCCAAAAAAAAAACGTGTTTTCAGCCCTGGAGCAAGTGCCTGGCTGAGGGACACTGAAGCTGAATGCGTGCCAGGCTGCAGCAGGGGTGCTCGGTGGCAAATTTAAGCCCCCCTGACAACGCAAGAGCTTTTCCTAACCTCCTGCAGCCCCTCTTTGCAAGGGAGCTTTGCAGGGCGGGTTCTTAATGCCTTCTAAACTGCAGGCTCCCAGGGGCTCAGGCAGCAAAGCACCATCAGCCTCAGAGCAGCATCTCCTTGGGCAGAGCAGTCCTCTCCAGTCCTTCCCAGGCTACCTTAGCTGTGCTGGGTGGGCGAGGACAGAAGCCAGGTCTTCAAACATGAGCTTTATAAAGTGCCTGTATCCTGCCACATATATAAAAATAAATATATGGGAGAAAAAAAAACAGGGCATGAGCTTTAGACAAGCCAGGATGGAGCAGGCAGGAGCTAGAAGTGGCTGGAAACTTGCAGGAGGCCATCCCTGCAGCCCGGTCTCGGCAGCGTGCTTTTCCCTGCCTTTGCTCAGCATCAGTGCCCTGGCTTTGCAAACACCATTTTTATTTTTTTTTTTTTTTTTTTTTTTTGCAAACACGGCCATGTGTGTGCAAGCACCATTCCCCTCATTCACAGGTGAACACAGCCCTGAAGGACCCTTTCACCCGAGTCCTCCTGAGGGTTGCAGCAGACGCCAGCACGCATCCCAGGCTCACCATGCAACTGTGCCCCCCCGCCCCCGACACCGGGGCACACGTACCGGGCCATCCGGAGTGTGACACGGCGGCAGCAAATCCAATTGATGTGGCAGCAGGGCCAGAGAAATGCCAAACACATCTGGCCGTGTCAGGTCGCCCTGCACCGCTGGCGCTCGTCATACAGATGTAGGAAAAACCCTCGCCTTTGTTTTCTCCTCTTTGGGCATCACCCGCGTCCTGGGCTTCGCAGGACGGCAGCTCGGGAGCATTAACTCACCGTAGGGTTATTTTGTCTTCATGCTAAACTCTTCCTGGAGATGTCAGCTGCCAGAACGTGTCATTTACGCTTCACGGCACTGCCTTAGTGGTTCGTGGACGTGACAGAGTGACAAGAAACAGCATCCTTGAAGGGAGGGCTCAGTCTGGATGGTTCCTCTCTAACAAACAAGTGTGGGCTGGGCTGGGCTGGGCTGGTCACTCGGGGTGAATCTGAAGGGGCCGGGGATGTCCATGGAGGTGGCCGTGGTGGGGGAGAATGTGCCTGAACCAGGCTCAGTCACTGGGAAGTGCTCCCGAGTCCAAAGGCAAGACTGGGGCTGTTACAGCTCTGCCTCAGACCCGGCAAGCGCGGGGGGCTGCTGCCTGCCCACCCCCTGGTTTCGGGTGAGCCACAGCACGTGTCCCAGGGAAATGGGAAGTTACGGGAGTTAACTGGGCTGCTGCTCTCCTTGCAATGGGCGGGCAGGAACGGTGGAGTCGGCAGGGCTTTTGGAAATGAAGTGGGGGGGGGTTTTTGCCGGGGGGGGGGGGCTGCAGGTCAGTGCGCTCACGGGGCTCCTTCCCCCCATCCATCCCGGGAAAATGCTTCTCCAGCGGGAGCGGCCCACAGAGGCTGCCAGCCCGCGCCGCCCCGCCGCCCCCACGGACCAGCATTCGCCTCTCAGGGCTGGGCAGTTTCCCCACCAGCGCTGGGTGCGGATCGGGCCCGGGGGGACCAGTGCTCCAGCAGATCACCCCCCGCTCCCCCCACAGGGCCAAAGCGATGCCACGTCCTGGGGTGGGAGGTAGAGCAAGGGCTGGTTAAATATATGCGCTTGTGTCTTACCCCTGAGCTTGCAACAGCCCCACATCCCCCCTCCCTGGGCTCAGGCAGGATTGGTGCCCATCTCACCTCTTTTAAAGAAAGTTTTAAAGTGTAGGTCAAGAGGATTGCTCCTTTTTGGATATTTGGTCCTCTGATCATGGCGAAGGCTCGCTTGTGCTCTCGCCAAGCACAGAGGGAGGCTGGTGCAGAGCCCAGCAACGCTCCTGCCCGCAGGGTGCCCCGTTCCTGCTTTGCTGCAGCCATTCAGCTCGGGCCCCCTCGTGCCTCCCCTGGAGCTTGTTGGAGGGCAGGGAAGGGATGTGAGTATGGTGGCTAATTAATTGCACAGATTAACTTGTACCTGTCAGCAGCCACGGGGCAAGTAAGGTGGGTCCGAGCGCAGAAGTGTCAGTGAGCAACTCCCCGGGAGGACAAGGTGCATTTGCAGGACAGCTCTGTGCACTCATGCACGGCACTGCATGGTGTCTGGGAGCACCTCAGAGGCGTTTGGGTGCTCTCCTCTTGGTGTCCACAGCCCTGCTGGACCTCGGGCTGGAGAAGAGCCCATGGAGGGTGAGCAGCACCGTGCACGGCAGCAGGCTGCAGCCCTGCCTGGGGTCCAGTCCCCATGGATGTGTTTCGGCTGCAGCTCAGGTGGACAGTTGGCAATTTGCACTTTTATTTTCACCTTTGAAGAAGCTGCTCTGTGAGCAGGGAACACAGCGGTGCTTTTGCCTGCCTTGACTCAGTTTACCTTGTTAAAAAAAAAAAAAGCCAAATTCACTTCAAAGCTGCTCCTGCAGAGGTTTTTTAGCAACACCCTGTGGCCTGCAGCCAGAGGGAACTGGGGCTGTGGGTTGAAGGCTGGGACTTTCTTCCTTCCCACAACCCTGCTGTGAAACGAGAAGGAACTTGGCCAGCACCAGCACAAGCCACATCCATCAGCTCTGGTTGAATAGGGCCAATTGTTTTGAACATTATTGGAAGGGAGAGGAGAGAAACACATGAGCATGCACCCAGGTCATTGCACAAGGAAAACGAAGCCCGTCGGTTGCTGCGGGAGGTGCTGCCTGACCCGCTGGTGAGTGTGGCCCCATTTGGGAGATGTGAAGAGGTCTTCAAATCCTGGTGTGATATTGTATATCCCCTCCCGTCCAGGTGCCACTGGAGTTGCACTGGCCTTGATAAAAATGAGACCTGATTTTGAGCATAAAGCAGCTGCACGGGGTATCTTACGGCTGCCAGCTCATCTCTGCTTCCCGCTGATGCCAGAGGAGGCTGATGCTGATGGAAGTGAAGTGCACGTCCCCCATCTTCAAAGCCACCGGAGAGCCACAGAGCCCTGCTCAGGCGCTCGGGAGCAGCTCTGATGCCAAGAGACACCACGGCTCTGGCCCGGTGGGGAAGGGGAGTCCT